CCCTGCTATAGTTGCTTCTAGCCAGTATTCCAGTCACACCGTCAGATGGGTCATTCAACATGGGGCATTCAAGGCTCTGCAGCACGCCTGCTCAAACAGAATGTATACCAGTCCTCATGCTAGCAGAAACACAAATTATTTCCATCTGTGTTGATTTTGGAGAGTACAGCGAACCTCCCCTACCTCATCCACCCTTTGCACCCTCCCCTCGTTCCCTGTCTTCGCCTAAACAGTCCTGGCCTAGCTCTGTAGAGTGTTGCTTCATACAAACATCACTTTAATCGTGTTCATTTTCTTTGCTGCACTTTGAACAGAAAAAGCTTTTGGATATGCAGTTGTAATTAATGTAGTGTACACAGTAATCTGGATGGTAGTCTCTGAACAAGATCTGTCTCCCCTTTCTGAGACAGATAACCCTCTCACCCTATCAGTATTCTGGCAAAACCCTGCTCCATTTCTGACGGTTTGGGGTAACCACAGAATGCAACAGAATGCATCCAGTACTGCAGAGGCATCTGCAGTACTGGATGCCTCGTCGCCCCTCCATGGACCTGACTCAGAAGCAGAGTGGCATTGCCTGGCAGCTTTCGTCATCGTGGCCGGCAAAACACTTCCATCCAAGTCTGATATCAGTATCTTTCACTCTATCTCCACAGCTCCAATCACCCCTTCATTTCCATTACCATCCCCAGCCTTTCCGCCAGCCACAGTACCCCTAGTCTTGGGGTTTCAAGAAGCACAACTGTCTCCTGGTCGACAGGTAGTGTGGCTGAAGGCGTGGTTGGTTCCCAGACTCCTGGCTGCCCAGTCGTCTCCAGAGCCTTCCGCAGTTTCCCAGTCCTCTGAACCCCGCTGGCCTTCACCCATCTGAACCCCATCTTGGTCTTATGTCACCAGCCACCGCAGTCTTCTCACCTCCAGCCCTAGTAAGCAGGTTAATTAATTCTCCGCCATCAGCAACTGTGTCCCTGACGTCCCCCAGTGCACCTGAGAGCGTCCCTGTTCTCAGTACCAGCCCTCCAGCGAGTCTCTCAGCACTCAGCTCGAATTCACTGAGCCAGTCCTGCCCAAGCTCACCGAGCCAAGTCTCCCCCAGCAGCCGAAGCTGCCACCTGGCTTACCTGTTCCTGGTCTTCCCCGCAGTCCCAGCCAGCCTCAGGGCCACCCGTCTCCGCCTCTTCGTGAGTCCCTGTGGCCACCTGGCCGCCTGCCTCCATCTTTTTGTGGATAAAGACTGCTCTACTGCCGACCGCCAGACTTGCCATGACTAGTCCTTTTCCTACGCCGTTGCTGGATTTGTTTTGTTTTCCTTGGGTTTTAATCCCACCTGTGTTTGTGTTTCTTCATCCGGTCCTGGTCTATGCTGTCACTTGTCTATTGTCATTGTCCTTGTCTGTCCTACTTGTTTTGAGTTCCTTGCCTCAGAGTTCACCATTGCTGCCTTGACTTCTGTTTACCTGTGAGAGCTTTGATTATATCATCCATTTTCATCAGAACCTGGATCCTCTGCTTCCATCCTCGCCATTTTCTAACCACAAATCATGACAGGCTTCTTCAAATTCACTGTAATGCAGACCTCTTCAAGATATCTTTCCTTTCAACAGCCATCACTATCTACAATAACTCTTTAAAGAATTTGAATGAATATGAACATGAACTACAGCATTTAATTTCCATTTAGGATGAATTTAAATTGAATATTTAAATACATATTTTTGAATTTGAATTTGAATGTGATGGTTCAGTTTATTTTTACGTCGCATTGGCCGAGAAGGGGCATGTGATTTCTGTTCAGCAAAGGGAAAGTGTGCAGCTCTGGTTAGTTTGAGAGCATATCATCTGCACATAATAACTGCTGTAAGGCTGTGGTACTTTGTTGGGGAATGAAAACAAGAAAAAACAATGCCTCTCTCTGAGCTTAGTCACTGCATAGCAAAGCAGTAGAGTCATTTTCTCTGGAGTAAAATGTAATGCATTATGTTGCAAGCATGAAAAATGCTTACCTAAACACTTAGTTTTTGAAAATTATTAATATTTATGTTTTAAAAAGAAAAAGTCTCTGTTGAGTAAGATATGGAGCAGCAGCTGTCTGTTCAACAGAGCATTTCAACCAATGTACAGGAGTTCCATTCGTTGAGCAGGCATTGTGGCCTCCTGTTTGACCCGTCAGGCTCAGTTCTTTTGTTCTTTTCACTTCTCTTCCTTCCTATCCTCCAATCTTCCTTTCCGGGTAAATATTTTTCTCCTGTTTCAGGCAGGAAAGAGGAGAATTCTGGAGAGAGGAGAGAACTCTAGCAGCAATGTAATTTGAGTTCAGTAAACTGCTGTTTCCCTTAAAGGATACCAGATAAGGTTTTTGCTAGAGGTCTGGTCCAACAATGAGAGAAGGGAGTGGAATATTAAGGGAGGGAATGGGGTTTACTGGCAAAAAAAACTAAATCTGGCTTAGCATGCTGAAAAAGAAATAGTCGCATGACAGAATTGTTAGCTATTTTCTCTGCAGAAAATTCAAATTTTTTCAGTTGTATTTCATGTAAGCTTCTAACCCTAGAGGTTACTTAGTAAAATATTCTTAACTCTGTTGATGACAGACAGTTGATTGGGAAGTGAGGCAAGAAATAATATGTAAATAAAAGTGAGCAGAGTTCTCCAGGAGGTTATGATGACATAATTGGGCCAGTGGAGTCTGCTCAAAAGCTCCCCATCAACATCACTTTCAGGGCTACGGAACAGATGAATATAAGGGTGACTGAAAAAAAAAAATCTGATTTTCATTTCAGAATTCTGACATTAAGGTCAGAATTCTTCTCTTTTTCTAGTGACACAGTACAGAGTTGAGAGCAGTTATGAAATAATTAATTGACTGACTTAAGTAATCTTAAAAATGTGACTATGGTGACTTTTAAGGGAAAAGGTGGTTCATAGGAAGTGATTCACTGAGAGATGATTTGCTGTGTGACTTGTTGTCGCAAACTTCTTACTTTTCCTTTGAAAGTTGTTATGAGTTGGAGCAGCTACAATCCCAAATGTTGTGCTTTAGTTCAGTGGTCCGCAACCTTTTTATCACCGTGAACCAGTCAAGGCTTGGCAATTTAGCATGACAAGCTAGATCAATTTGGATCGAAATTCAAATTCAATTTGAATCCCCAGGGGAATTGTGGGAGTGACAGGGAGGTGAAACATCAGACAAGGTTCCTGCACAATTTTCAGTTTTTGGCTCCTTAGGACAATCTGGATGCCCGCTTACTGAAGAAGACTGTGACAGCTGAAAACCACGATTGTTATTTGTGATAATTGTAGCCGAACAGCCTACAGTGTGTGGTGTGTTATGTAGAATGTGGGACTGCTTCAATCTAAAATTAGGTCTATCCGACATGTTAGATGTCTCAGCCCAGCTTATGGTTGACTGGGAGCGAGAACGCAGCCTGTTGAATGTGACAAGTAGCCAATCAGAAAGCATGGTAACTTAAGCCTTCTGGGAGTGATGGGAGACAATGACACCCAAAGTGTTGCTTATGCACGTGGTGAAGCAGTTTTGAAGCTTCATTGCTTCATTACCAAGCCAGTCGCTGCATGTCATGCATAGCGGGCTTAGAATGTGGAAATAACGTACCCGGATAAATCCATTCTCCTGTCTCTTCTCTGGGCCTTTTCCCTTCGCAAAGTAACTTTCCAAAGAATCTGATCTGTTTCTTACTCATTTTGCTGCTTGTAGGCTCACTGTTGGCGTGCATAGTGCAACTAAAAGAATTGGGTGAAATAATTTTCAAAATAAAAGGTTTTCTGGACTCATATAATACATAAAATGGAAATATTTAATTATTTCTTGTGTAGCCTTATACCAATTGGTCCATGGACCAGTACCGGTCTGTAGCCCGGGGCTTGGGGACAACTGCTTTAGCTCACTTCATTGTAATAGATGGGTTGTAATAATGTCGGTAAGTGAAAACTGAAAGGTGACCTATTATGCTTCCTTGAATAGGTTAGGACAGGTCTACAGGCTCTACTAAACATGTTTATTAAATTTTTTTTTTTTAATTCCTAGATAATGAGAATTTAGTTTGTTCAGTTCTTCCTTTTTTGAGCTCCAAAAAACCACCTGACCAAACATGCTGGAGCTCAGCTTGGGTTGCTATGTTGCTACAGAGCCTGGCTCTGTTGCATTGCTAAGTAATGGTGCAGTGCCCGGGTCTTAGGAGGCGACAGCATTTGGCTTCACAGGGAATTTCTCAAAAGCATTGCCACATTGTGCATATGGCGCCCCATACACATGAAAGGTTTGCTTTCTAAAATGGATTTCAGTTTTAAAAAAAAAACCTACAGAGGCCAAAATGCTATTTTTACTTTCATGCTGTATATTGCGCTAAGCATGGAATAGATAAGTATCAACCTTATGCAAGTTTTTTCAATAACTGCAGCATCATAATTACATTATGTTGCCAAAGTATTTGTTCACCTGCCTTGACTCACATTTGAGTCCTAATCAATTGTTGATTACAGTTCAGCCTTCAACACAACAATCCTAGTTTGCCTCATCTCAAAATTCACCAACCAGACTGTGAGATTTGGTCCTCATCTCTCCTCTACCGGCACACTGAGCATCGGTTCCCCATAGGGCTTTGTGCTGAGCCCCCTCTTGTATTGCCTCCACCCCCAAGACTACCCAAAAACAATTAACACCCTGAAATAACACATTCACTACTTATATGATAGTTTATGTGTATGTGTACATATAGAAATTTAACAGATTTATATTGTAACTATCACCATATTTCTGTGTATATTGTATAGATTGTCCTACGTTGTTTGCACTGTTTTTGACCCGGCTTTAATCTCATTTTTATTTGCAGGAACAAACAATAAATTCTAATTTTAATCAAAGAAAACTTGGTCACTTAATTGTGCTATAAAATTGCACTATGTGGCTGGAAAATACATTATAAATTCCCTTTAAGCAGATATTATACAATATTCTCATCGGAAACTTGTTCTGTTTGTAGACTCCAAACAGCGACCCTCCTCCTCTGCCCAGCTCCTCTCTTCCAGAAGGTTACTATGAGGAAGCAGTTCCCTTAAGTCCTGGAAAGGCTCCTGAGTACATTACCTCTAGTAAGTAATAAGCCAATATATATTTTTATTCATTAGTGTAATATGTGTCTTTATATATAGAAAACTACTAACCCTAACATAGTTAGCTTATTTCTGGTCAATGAAATTAAGAATAGATTATGTTTCCTCTCAGACTATGATTCAGATGCCATGAGCAGTTCCTACGAATCGTACGATGAAGAAGAGGAAGACGGGAAGAGTCAGAAGATGCGTCACCAGTGGCCATCTGAAGAGGCGTCCATGGACCTTGTGAAAGATGCCCGTATCTGTGCTTTTCTGTTGCGCAAGAAACGCTTCGGCCAGTGGACTAAGCTTCTGTGTGTCATCAAAGACAACAAACTACTGGTGAGAGATTGTCTAAAAGAAATACAGACAGAAATGGTTGAGCATAAACGTTACATGTGTGGATGACCGGCATCAGATCTTATTCGATCTACATGGGATGGAAATAATTACTTTTTTTAGGAAGATTTTGTTTCTCTTTATTTAACCAGGTAAAACCCCATTGAGATCTAGTTCTCATTTTCGAGAGGGACCTCTGCCGGAATCTGCAACACATAACAATGTGGTTCCACAAAAGTCAAACAAATTAAAACCAATGCACAAGTTTAAAACTAATTACAAAACAATTTAAAAACAATTACACTGGTTTCTTAGAAAAACGTTGCATGTTTTTAAGAACCATTCAAAATAAGCCCAATGAAATCCGATCTGACATCTTGAGTTCAGACTGGAGTTGATTCCATGCTGTTGGAGCCATCACACCGAATGCACTTTTCGGATGTAATTTTCAACATGGATGTGCAGCCGACAAATCTGAAGCAACTCTGTGATGCTGTCATGTCAATATGGGTTAGATTCTCTGAGGAATGTTTCCAGTACTTTGTTGAATCTATGCTGCCAAGGAGTAAGGCAGTTCTGAGGGCAAAAGGGGGTCCAACCTGGTACTGGCTAGGTGTACCTAATAAAGTGAGTGCATGTACAGTGACAAACAATAAATTATTTTCTGTTCTATCTTTTGCCCCTCTCTCACAACCCGCTTTTCTGTCTGACCACTCTCAAATTAAGGCCACTGGAACTAATAAAACATTATACAAATGGCAAGAATGAAGTTAGTGGGAAAGTTTAAAAAATTTACTAACTTCATTTGTGGATTTTAAAAAAAATCATTGTTAGTTTTCCAATTGTAAAGCTTTGTGAAAATGAACTTTTCTGGTTGTTATTCTTGCCTGTGGTATTTAAACATCTGGACCAACAGTCACATTTGCATCCACTAAGCAATAAGCCATCTGTTCCTACTACTTTTAGTGCTACAAATCTTCTAAAGACCAGACCCCACAGATGGAGCTCACTCTGTCAGGATGCAGCATCATGCACATCCCCAAAGATGGCAGGAAGAAGAAGCACGAACTGAAGATTGTCCACCAGGGAGCAGATGCCCTGGTGCTGGCAGTGCAGAGCAAAGAACAGGCCGAGGAGTGGCTCAAGGTAATTCAGTGAACCAAGACCCCACGTCAATAGTCCGTCGATATAAACAAAAATATCTGGCAGAGACTAAGTTTGAGTGTGAGGAAAAGTTAAGTGCAATTGTTACAAGTTTTGAGAAAAAAGTCATGTATGAGGGTCGGCTTTAACTAAACCAAAACACACCGAACTGTGACTACCGTATTTTCCTGACTATAAGTTGCAGTTTTTTCATAGTTTGGCCGGGGGTACAACTTATACTCCGGAGCGACTTGTGTCTGAAATTATGAACACATTATTATATCATATCACATGTTGTGTTCACACTAAACCGCAAGAGGGCGCTCTAGGCCTGTGTTAGCGGAGTTGTTTATAAGCGACAGCGAAGATCAAGATTTATTGATTTGGAGTGACACGGATTGCTTGGTAAACTTGTTAGCATGTTATTGATGCTATAGTTTTCTGAATAACTCTTAATTATTAACCATTCAGGACACTTATTTGATATTATGAGACCCAATATAATGTAAATTTAGTCTATTGTAGTTAGGGCTGGAACTTCAACATATTCATTTCTATTAGTTAATTACAAACATGTCACTCTGACACAGAGTCAATAGATTATTGATGTAATAATCAATAGATGGCACAGAAATTAATGTTTGTGTCAAAGACACAAACATTAATTTATATTAGCTGCTTCTCATACCTATAATATCAATCAGCAGGAGACGTGATTAGTTGTAACAATAGATTTTGGTGGAGAAATATTTATTTTAGATGTGAAAGCAATGCAGCAATTATACAGTGTGTATTGTCAGACGAACATCGCCATGTTGTTCATATTGCAATGCATTCTGGGTAAAAGACTAGAGCAGTAAGTCTGACTGCTCTAGCACCATCCAATCAAAACAGTGAAGCAGCTTAAAGTAACGCCTTTAAGCCTTTTTAAAACTGAACCAAAACGCATTGAAATTGATGGGAATGTAGAAATCACAGGAGGTAATGAAGATCAGGAGGATCAAAGAAAGGAAGAGCGCAGTTATCTGTAGGAGCCTTCAGCTTTATAAATGAAACTGAATGACATGTACCTCTGGTTGAACTTTGTGATCCACCAAGGACTTCTATAGTTCTCTGTCCAGTCCAGTAAGAGCTGTAACATACTGCCGCAGAGTTGCAGTATTTCACAGCGCTGTCTGTCTGACTTTTCTCCCAGCGGTTTTTTGCTCTCTAGTCAGGTGTTCTGTCATTTGTGAATAAAAATTGTGGGCATGCCATTTGTTCTTATCTTGTGAGTGTAACAATCACTTGTTAGAGCCTTGAACAGTTTTGCCCGTACAGTGACTCTTTGTTGTGTCACAAACAGCATTATTTTAGTTAATAGGAAAATTACAACACATTTAGCCCAACATGTGTAATTAATCTTGGATCCCTTGAATTAAAAGTCATATTTAGCACCCAAACTCTGACTCCAGTTTGCTCAGTAGTACAGCAGGCAGCCACGGTGGCTCCCTCTTTCCAATCGAAGAAATGCAGTCCGTTCCCACCCCCTCGGCCTCTGAGTCGCTCTCTTAGCCAGACCTATGGAGCCACAGTCTGTCATTTCCCCAACCAGACCCAATTATGCTTCCTGCAAGCCAAAACCCGACAAGTTGAGGACGCCAGTGCAGCCAGAGCCAGTCTAGAGTGCATGTGGACCGGCGCTTTTTAGTGTGTTAAAGAGTGTATTGACGAATTTTCACATTTCCCACTACCCACCATTTGGGTTATGCATGTAAATCCCTTTCACTGCCAAGCCAAGATTTGATATGTAGGGACCACCTACTTCCTCTACAGTTACTAGAACATTGGGTCTCCATTGCTTTTGATCCCCTAACTGCCATAGAGAAGGCTAATATATTAGAGACAGGGTAGAGACCATACATGTGGACCTCATTGGAAGGCTTTCTACATTGAGCTGCTTATTTTGATATGTTGCAAAAAAATTTCAGAAATTATAAAATGAGGAATCCACATATTTGTTATTGACCTTTCTTATTGGTTTATATTCTGCCAACGTGAGTTGACATGTTGATGAATAAACTGAATTCATTCTGCCCTCAGTCATCATATGGGTTTTTACATTGATACAATGTCCTCAGCAGTCTAATTAAAATAGCGTTCCTTCTGTTTTCAAGGTGATGAGGGAGGTGTGCATGAATGGAAGTGCAGACCTTGATGGAGCTGCATCTGGATTACCTGTCCTCAAAGCAGAACTGGAGAAGGTAAAATTAAAGCCCACAGGTTCTAAAGATTGCCAGCGTTGCAAAGTATGTCTGTTCTTTAAGAATGTTTTCCCACCTGATAGTCCTGTAGACTATCAAATCTACCTGAGGGAAACATTTTAAAAATTAAAAATAATTTTGCCTCAGTGTTTCAAATTTCCCAGGTTTATTTTCTTTTAAATAATTGTATAAGATATCCTCTGTCCTAGTTACTATTTTTGAACTATTTACTTGGTGACATACTTGATGGACAGGGCAGAATATGGTTTTCCACAAAAGGTGGGCAAAAGGTGGACAGTTAACCAAATTGGTTGTTAGTGCAATGGATGCAAAGGGTTAAAGCATAAAGTGCACATTTATCATGTGTGTTGATGTGTTTGCTGCAAATTAGAACTGTACTAGTAAGTTAACACTACAGATTGAGTCGGCCTTATCAGCCAGCTCAACCTTCTACAGAAATTCCTGGAATTTTTATGTTGTACATTACCTTTAGATAATTAAAAGTCATATTTCTTTTTTAGATAGCCACTTTTGAACTGTAGTGCCTTTTTAGTTTTGAGGAACTATGCTGTTTACTCTTTTAATTCACTTCTCTTCTGCTTTGGTGATTTTCTGTTGCCAGAGAACATCATCTGACCGGCCAAGCTCAGATGGTGAAGCAACCCATGAAAATGGACACAGTGATGGCAAAGACCAAGGTGAGAGTCATAGGAAGTAAACAATGTGGAACATTTCAGTTGATCTCAGCAGCATGTAAACATACAGTTCATGTCATCAGGGGGGAAATATAGGACAATTCCAATGGCCCCTGAGAGACAAGGGGCCCTCCAGAAAGAAGTTTGTTTTTTTTCTTCATAGAAATAGAAAAAAATGGGGCCCTGTCAATTACAAAATTAATTATATTGTGTTCTTTAAATTATTTTTATCAGTAAAAAAAATTCATGTCACCACTCAAAGACCAAAACACACACATCCATATTTGCACTGAAGCTCCCAATCCCCTCTGGACTGGCATAAAATGGTTCCTTCTTGGAGCACTTGATAATAAAGTCAAGTTTTCAAAAAGACAAGAGTCTCAATTTGTAGCTCAGTTTTTCTCCAAGAGAGGTGAGTTGACTGTGTGAGGTTATCAACCATTTAGCATAGTTAGCTTAGCTACAGACTGTTTGCCTCCATTTCACTAGCATTTAAAGAAAGAGGGGGAAAATAATCTACCAACATATTCATATATTTAAGTTGTACCTGTACCTTAAATATATGACGCACTTAACGGATGTGTCAGTCAGCAGCAGCTCTAACCCCAACATCAGAATAATCCCTCCTCCCTGTGTTTAGTAACGAGCTAGTTAGCTAGTTTCCACGGAGTCTATGTATATTTTTCATGTCTCACTGTTCCTTTTACAATTACACAATAGAACAAAATATTTATTAGTGACATAAATTCAAACACTCTATATAAAACACAGCCTCTTGTCAGTCCAGATAGTCCTGCCTTCGCTTGCATTTAAATGACAGATATCTGTTTCCACATCCCTCCTGACCCATCCCCTCCTAAGTGAAATTAAAGCTGCAGTATGCAACTTTCATTAACAAAAAGTACACATTTGTTAAGACTGTCAATGAATTGAAATTATCTGAGAATAATTTAGTTCCTCTGCCTTCTCCCAGTGTTCTCTAGAAACAACCAATCAGAGGCAGGAGGCGGATTTTAGCGCTGCAAATCACAATCTTTAGCTGTCAGTCGAAGGTCAGGGAGGAGCTGGAGGAGATTCATGTTTTCACAGATTATCTGTTTCATATCAAACTGTCATGACAAGAAAGCAAGGCGGTTGCATGCACTTAAAACTGTGCCACTTTTTATGGATTAGGTAGACTCAAAAAATTTGTAACAGCAGGGAGCCCAATCAAATTTTTTGTCATGGGGCCAAAGTTTCCTGGCTGCATGTCATTACTGGGTACACAAAGCTTTCCTGTAAAAGTTATACATTTGAGAAAAGATAATGACTGAAACCCTTCTGATCAACTTATAATAAAAATACATTTACACAAAAAATAAACAGTGACTGATGCACAGTGGTTTCTCCACACCAAAGCAGTGTGTGTTTGGTGTGTTTCTGTCAAAACACACCAAATATTTGCCATCAGCAGGCTAAATTCATGTGGAAACAAGTAGCACTTTGATTGTCTTTTCAATTATTTGGGTCATCAGCTGAATGTTAGGTCTGTGCTTTTGTTCCCTCTTCTTTTTTTCCTCTGTTTGCCAAATTATCCTCAGTTGGTTCAGCTTATCAGCCAGACTCATACAAAGCAAACATAACATTGCTCATTTTCTGTCAAATCCCATCATGATCAGCCATGTTCTTTTAGTAAGGTGTCACACAGAGTGCTCATCAACTAAAGTAAAAGTTTTTTCTCAATAGATTTTACGTCACCTAATAGCTGAAAAAACAGTTTATCACATGTCACCTGCATACAAAGCTATACACACAGTGTACACTTGTAACCAGAAGTTTATGTAAACTGACTAAAAAGACACATTAATCTTTTTTTTCACTTTCTGAAGTTACATCAGACCACACTTCTCTTGTTTTAGGTCTGTTAAGATTACTCAAATTCTATTTTTTAAATGCAACAATAAGAGAAAAACTATGTCAAAGATTTATTTACATATAAACATTGAAGAAAAACCAAGATGTTGTCAAGACTTTGGAAACTTCTATTAGGTTAAAGTGTCTGTATAATTTTGATGAATCTCTTGTTCATATTTGTTGAAACTGTCATGTTGTGACACTTTACTATGAGGTGGGTAATCTGTGAAAACATCAATTTCCTCCTCATCCTCCCTGACCTATGATTGCTGTCTGAAGAAATGCATTGCTCCCAACAACCAATCACAGGAGGAAGGTCTTGGCAATGCTGCTAAATTTACTAATGGTGGAGAAACACTTTACCATTTCAGGAAAACCATTTGTCCGCTGTCATTGGTGGTCATGCTAACTATCCTGAGCATTCACAAGATGGCATGCTAGCTCCAGTGTACCAGAAAGCAAGTGGGCCAGAGGAAGACAGGATGAGCAATGCCAAATGAGTTTGTGAAGTCTGGTTCATCCTTAGGAATAATTTACAGATTCTTGAAGGTCCCACTTTCTTCTTCCCAAATAAGAACGTGGCACAACATATATGATATATCAATTGAAGCAATATATATTTGGCCTGTAGTTGAGACCTGCAATCTACCAGCTAACACAGATTTAACAGCGGGAAGCAAGGGGTATAATCAGACACTGGGTCAGTGTGACCCTGCTGAGGGGCACACAGGGTTATATGGCATTTTGTTCTAATGCAGACACCGTTAAAGTAATGCACACGTAGTATCACAAACCCAGCACAAACCCCAGTTTTCACTAAACAAATAGACCATGCTGCACTCTAAAGACTTGGCTAACTAAATGTCTGCTGTCCCGCCAGCAGGATAAACCCAACTATGTTTTCTCTTCTCTCTTCATATAAAAACTAGAACAAACCAACTTGTTGCACTACTGGAGATTTTTGGATTTAAAATAAGCTAAACTCACAGATGATAGAGATTACCTTTTGATTATAAATTTGCTCCTTGTTTATAGTAATATTTGAGGTAGCTGTTTCTCCTCGTTATCTTTACTGTACTGATTTAGTAATCTACATAAGTGAGCAGGTAATATGTTATTCCCCAAGCTTGAATTATAGCAGTGAATGTTCTGCAGAGGTATTTCTACTGAAACAATGCAATGTTTTAATCACAAATTGTGAATTATGACACAAAAGCCTTGATTCTTTCAGGAAAAGCAAAAAAAACCTCCAAATCAGAGCAGAAAATTGGGACTGTTGGAAAGGGAGCCAGCAAGAAGATCACCAAGATCATCAGCCTGGGGAAGAAGAAGCCATCCACAGATGAACAGACTTCATCTGCAGAGGAAGATGTTCCCACCTGTGGTAAGACTGGGTTTCATTAATCAAATTTAGAAAATGTCTTCTCAAAGGCATGACTAATGACAATTCCTTGTTGGAAGGCCCTGCTCATCAATGCACTGATGACTTCTTGGTACCACATAAAACTTTCAATTTCCTATTATTTATAATCACATTTACTCTCAACATTCTACATTGGCTTTTGTTGGAACAAGGGACGTAAAAGTTAGGACAATTCCGAGGGCCAATGACCGACAGGGGGCCCTCCACAAAATATTTTTTTTTATTTCTCTTAAACTAAAACTGTTAACAATTACATACAGCTCTGGAAAAAATTAAGAGATCTCTAAATTTTGTTTGAAATTTTGGAGACATGTCAGTAATTCATAGAATAAAAGAACAATGTTAATTTCATGCACACATATGAAGTATAAAGAGTAAAATCAGAGATCTGGCCATTTTTTCTAGCATTGTATATACATGAAACAGAATCTCCCAAATACATCAGACCTGCCAACATCTGTTAACATTAATGAGAGACATGAGCAGCTGGGACACAGTCCCAATGGGGTCTGCTTCCCTGGAAATGAAAATACAATCTACTATGCATCATTTGAGAAACATTTTACTAAATCCATAGGGTTAATAAAACTAAAACCATTAATTATCAAGGCAGAAGGAGCTTAACTGAACTTTATTTGAAAATTATACTTAAATATTGCATTACCATAATTTTTATCTGAGCATTATGTGGCTGCTGGTCTTTTTCTTTAAACAAGAACGTTTGTCCATCTATGGAAAAGTGGAAATTATGAGTCAGGGTTTTACTATTTCAGTTCACAGTTCATGAAGTGGGTCTATCACAGTTACAGTACAAAACACCTTTCTGTTCACAGACACAGAAACATCCTGACCCTAAAGAACACTGCACTGTTCTTTAGTTTTACCTTATTTAAGTGACTCCAGGGAGGTTTGGGTAATTAATTACAAAACAACACAACAGTCACTAATCAAACTTCAAAAAGAGTAATTAGCAAGGCTAAGGACCGGGAACAGACAAACCCATTATTTATCCAACTATTTTGCATACATGCAACATTTTGTACTGAACAACTACAAAATACTCTTTCACAAAAATTATTCTAAATTAATTATGTACTGCATTACCACTTAAAATTGCTCATTACAAAAAAAAAAAAAAAAAAACAATAAAACACAAAGCATAATAGTTTGCATTGGAAATTGCTATCTAAAAGAAGGTGCTGATGATACAAGCCTGCCCCCTGATAGCTGGTTAAAAATATATATACAATGGTCTTTACTGGATTTTTGTTTGTTTTTTTTTTGGAGGCTGGTTCAAGACCAAACCTACCACAGTATCAAACATCTGGAGCACTTAAAAAAGAATGAAACAAAACAACAGAGCAATATTTCAAAGTTTGATATATTAAGTGAGCCAAAGAGCCACCTTAATATAGTGGCTTGTTTGCAGATCCTGATTTAGCAGATGGAAAATGTGATCCTATCTCAATACCACAGCTAAAAGTGCAGTTTTGTAACTGTTAACTGTTATTGTAACTGTTAACTGTTATTGTAACTGCTATCTCATAAAGTAAAATTGTGAAGTTTAAAAAAATTGACCAAAAGACATTTATTTAGTATAATTTCTTCAATAATCTTAGAACATTCCCAGTTCTAAGATTGTTGCTTGTAATCATGCTGCATTGTGTTTGATGAGAAGTTTCCAATTGAAACAAAGAAATCCCTGTTCTTTAAGTAAGATTCAAACCAGTCGAGCACCGAACCGGAGAGTCCAACCCAACTCTCCAGTCGATTCAGTAAAATGTCAAAAGCTGCACTGAGGTCCAACAGAACCAGCACTGTGGTTCTCCCACAGTCTGTATTTATATGGATATCATTGAATACTTTTATGAGGGCAGTCTCCGTGCTGAGCGCAAAAAACAGATTGGAAGGAGTCAAAATAGTTGGTCATCATGAGGAAACTAATTGTTTACACAGTTTTTTCAATAACTTTGCTGATGAATGGGAGGTCAGAGGTCAGCCTGTAATTCTGCAGTAGTGATTTGTCCAGATTGTTCTATTTTAGCAGTGGTTTGATAACTGCTGTTTTCAAAGCCTGGGGGAAAACACTTGATGTAAGCGATGAGTTACTATTTGGATCAGATCAGTAACAATAACAGGCAGGACTTTCTTCAAGAAATGTGTGGGAAGGACATCCAGACAGCAGGAGCTTGAACTTAATTGACTTATAATTTCTTCTAGGATTTTATAATTAAATAGTTGAAAGTGGGTCATTTTTCCTGTATTTGTTTTGTTTAGGTACAGCAATAATTAATCCTCTGATTTTTTGAATTTTCTCTGAAAAGAAGTTGGAAAGCTTGTTCCATCAGCATTAGATTGAATTCAGATGGTAACATCATGGGAGGGTTTGTGAGTCTGTCAACTGTTGCAAAAAGCTCCAAAGCATTGTTGCATCTCCAAAATGTTTTATGTTTTAGTGTTGCGTGATAGTTACTCTTTCTTTATAGATGTCATTATGAACGTGAAGTTGAGTTTACACCATTGTCGTTCTGCCCTGCGACAGAGTTGTCTTGCAGATCGAACTGTTTGTGCATTTTTCTGTGGAGATTTCTTCCTACCAGAAACAACCTTTCGTTTAATTGGAGCAATGGAATCAATGATATATGAAACTTCAGACTGAAAATCATCTACCAACTTATCTACATCATTACAGTTTAAGGGTGAGGAGGAAGAGATTTGATTAAATGTTTCTGCTGTGTTTTTGTGTGAAGGAACATTTGTGACAGCAGCTGTTTGTCCAAGTTGGTCAAAGAATAAAACTTTCAGATAACAGCAAAGTGATCCGACAGGGCTACATCAGTTACAGAGACATTGGAAATATTCACACCCTTACTGATAACCAGGTCCAGTGTGTGTCCTTGAGTGTGTGTTGCTTGTTTGACATTTTGTGTTAAACCAAAATTTTCTAAAATATTAGAGAGCTTTTTTTAATGTCTGCTGAGTATGTATTTATTCGCCACTCACCATTTCAGCCTCCTTACAATGGTCCATTCTGTGCTTTGGAGAAGGGACCTAAAATTTTTTTGGTGGAGTTGGGGGATAATCAGGAGAGTATTGCGGTGGACCGTTTGAAGCCAGCTGATGTGTTACCCGGGGACCCAGTTGAGTTGGCTCAGCCACCTCACCCTGGTCGTTCCTCAGTTTTTTCACCCATTTTTCCAGGTCCTCCCCTTCCAGCTGGTTTATCCCCCTCAGGTGGGCAGTTTGGTAACAGTCAATCTGGAGAGTTTTTCAATTTCAACCCCTATTCCTGTGAAAAGAAGCCATCGTGGCCGACTTACTAAACTCCCTCCCCATTACTGTTTGGTATTTCAATTGTTTTGTTTGTCGCTGCTGTTTAGTTTTTCCTTTGTGTGTTGTCTTTTTTGTACTTGTGATGTTGTTTCACATGTTTTTGTGTTTGGGACATTCTGTGTGTTCACTGGGGGCCTTTCTGCTGAATACATTGTATATATTTCACACCTGAATGTATACTTTTATTGTGAAGGGGAGAAGGTGACAGGAGAAGACATCGTTTGCACTTCATTCTATTTTTTTTGGTTTTGGTTGGAAGACATTGAGGAGAAATCAATACTCAAATAACTTTTTTTGTCTATTTCTGCTGACTTCCACATAGTCATTATTGTTACCCTTAGTATTGATATGAGTGTGATAGGAATGTCTATCGGCCAGTTATGTTACTATGTTAAATACGGAACACGACGTTTAACAGTCAAATATGAGACGACTCATATTTCAGGGGTGCTGAGGTACATGGCTCGATTCGCCACTAGCAACTATTGATTTTATAACCAGGCAAAGCCTTGGCATTATTAATGGTTCACTTATGTTTATTTGCACACCTGGTATCACTTTTGCAAATGGGCGCTGTAGAATGTGTTCTATGTTTTAGATGTTACAATTTTTAGTAGCCAGTATGATACAAGTTATTTTGGAAACTACATACCTGCTGAGTTTTGAATTTTAAAATAATGATGCTACTGTCAGAACTGGGTGACATAATTATGTTATAATACGGGAAATTTACAGAAAAATACTAATACAGGAGCACATCGGAATAGTTAGGTAAAATATTGTAGCTTACTGGTCAACATGGGACTACCGTTGACAGGTATGAATTCGGTTATTTACGGTGTTGTGAAAAAAGTATTTCAATTCTTATAGTTCTTTTACGTTTGATTATATTGACAGATTTCACTGGACAAAGATAACCTGAGCAAAAGCTCTGTTAAATGCTAATTCCATGGATGAAGGCAAAAAACAATCCAAACTGACCTGACCTATGCCAAACCCTAGTAGCCTACATTTTTTAAATTTAAAGGATAGGATGTCGATGGAGCATTCATCAGAATGTTCTACCCGTTTCACATTCACATCTTCATATGCTGAATTCCCTAATCAGAACATCCTACTTCTTTGAACATGGCAATGCACTAAATTATTTAGTCAAAATACCTGATAAATATAGTATGTGGGTAGCTTATATTGGTGCATTAAGACCCTCCCTCAGAAGAGCCTACCTTTTAAAAATATTTAAAATACAGAAGTTTTTGTAAGGACAAAACTGTGTCAGACAGGGAAAATAAGTTTTTATTGAAATTAAATTAAGCACAGATATCTACAAATACAGATCACCACAAAATCTTTTTTGCCCATTAATACATTGTATAGCAGTCTTCATCAAATGCAGCACAATAAAAATGTGTCCTCCGAACATTTCTGTTCTGTGCTTAAAATTCTGTGCTACGCTTAATATACACTATTACATCTTAGACATACACAGTTTCAGTCCCACATAATATCGCAATGCGCTTAGTATGTTTTTTTAAAAAAAGAAGTATTATTAAACTAAAATATTTCAAAGTATTTTTTTTTTTTTTACCAAAATATTTTATTGAGATTTTCCACTTTAGACATACAATCATGTAACTATCTGAACAGGTTCTCTTTGGAGTTGTTACATGACGGTAATTATTCTCACTCAACTCAGATAATCAAAAACCAAAGAAAGAAAAAGAAAGAGAACAAAAAACACAGCTTCTCAAAAACGGGGGTATTCAAGCAGATTACAAATTGGTTAGATATAAATGTACATATCTATACAGTATGACACACCGCAAGTTCTAGCAAATCAGAACTCAAACGAACCCTCTGACAAGTCTAAGTCCTTAATCAAATGAATGAAAGGCCCCCAAATCTTCTCAAAAAGATACTGTTTGGATTTCCTAATATATGTTAAACTTTCTAGCGGCAAATTAGACGACATCTGCTTTAACCACTGTGTGACACTGAGTCTACTGATAAGCAATACATGTTTTTGCAGCTAATGAGCTTATATTTATAAAAGTACATTCTTATTTACTAAAGTTACAGTATGTTTCTCATAGTATAAAGCTGACAGGAACAATTTAGGATCCAGTGAAATTTGCTTTAAGATCATTTTTTTTCAATTATCTTTCACCTCTGTCCAAAACGCTTTGATTTGTCTGCATTCCCACATGCAGTGTATTAGAGTCCCTTTAGAGTTACACTTTACATAAAGATCTGAGATGTTATTATTGTATTCATTTAAATGCACAGGCGTAACATAGATGCACATTAGCCATTTCAATTATAGAATTCTAAAACGGCTGTTTATGGACATTGTGTGAGTTTTAATGCAATTCCTTTCCCAATCCTGTTCACTGATAATTGATGATAGGTCCAAATTCCAGTTTATAAGCTTATTATTTGAGTTCTCTCAAATTATATTGTACTTTGAAATATTTTAAAGTAAAAATGTTTATTTTACTTTTTTTTACAGCAAAATAAAGTAAAAAATGTTTATTTTGTCACAAAATCTTTTTAAGTTTTTGTGACAAAAAGCTCACAAAAATGTATTTTGTCCTGATTAACATTAACACCAAGCAGTGACTTTCTGGTTTACAGTATACAGTACAGTAGCAACAATTCAGTTGGCAAACTAAAGTCAGTTCTAAATATGTTTCCAGGCTGCCTGTCAGGTAAACTTAAAACATAAAGTAAAACAGCAGCTTAATGAAAGCCAGACATAAAATAAATTAAATGGAGCTTACCTTAATCTTTGACTAATAAAACAAATGAAACAAAACTTCCACAGGTAGGATGTATCGATAAGAAATCTGGTGAGTAAGCAGTATGGAACATAGTGTGCGTATTACCACAAGGTAGGATGGATTGATGGGTAGCACAGGTAGTCAGAACATTGACCCTAGAGTACTGGAGTTTGACACGAGTGTTACATCAATGTAGCATGTCTACTTTGGAGCCAACATCTTGATTTAGTGAAGTCAATTGAGATTCCTTTTTAGGATATCCTTTTTGTAAAGCTGTCTACTATGTCAAGACAGGACACCTGAGAAGCAAATAAGAAATCTGTTATGGACTGCCTGTGTTTTGACTGACAGGTTATCTGAACGTGCTGTCCAATAACCGTTGGCGTGAACGCTGGTGCCGCCTGAAAGACAACCAGCTACTCCTCCACAAAGACCGTGACGACCTAAAGAGTCACATCGCTTCACTGCCCCTTCGAGGCTGTGAGGTCAACCCCGGCCTCGACCACAAACACCCTTTCGCTTTCCGCCTCCTTCGTAATGGCCAGGAGGTGGCAGTGCTGGAGGTGAACTACTGATAGGACTCTGGAAGACACTTACTAAAGAAGAGATTCATTGCACTCATGTATTATTACTGTGTTCTCTGGTTTTTCTTGAGGCCTCCTCCTCTGAGATGATGGGGCGTTGGTTGGGGGTGTTATTGGCCGAAACTGGCTCTACCACTGACCCAGCCACCCTGCACTATGACTACATAGATGTGGAGACCACCGCTAACGTCATTCAACTGGCCAAGCAGTCCTTTTGGTGAGCAGAACAGCATTTGCTTTCTGTTTTCAGCTTTGTTGCCTACCCCTTCATGAGCACTCACATAATGTTATGCTTCTATCTCTACAGTTTCACCAGTAAACGTGCTATCTCTCCCAATCCATACCTTGACAACCAAGTCAATGGCTATGCCTGTCCCTCCGGTATGGCTCTACACTATGATGATGTGCCTATAAATGGAATGGTAAGGACACCTGGGCACTTTTATTGCAATGTTTCATAAAATTTCTCTTAATCTTGAACGTTCAAGTTTTATTCTCCCCTTGCAACAACAAACTTCATTGTGTTTTACTGGAGCTAAAACACAAATATATAACTGTAAAGTCAAGGGAATTGCCTTGATGATTTGTTGTTTTCAACATTTTAAATTAATAAAAATAAAACAAATTGAGATGGATATTTGTGGTCATACCCTGTTTACCCTCAAAACCCTTAAATAAAATAGAGTACTACCAATTTCCATCCATCCATTTTCAAGCACCTTTGTCCCTAAAGGGGTCGGGAGTTGCTGGTGCCTCTCCAGCTATGTTCCGGGCGAGAGATGGAGTCAACCCGGATAGGGCACCAGTCTGTCGCAGGGCAACACAGAAACAGGACAAACAACCACACACCACACACACACACACACATGCACACACACTCACACCTAGGGAGAATTTGGAGACGTCAATTTACCTGACAGTCATGTTTTTGGACTGTGGGAGGAAGCCGGAGAACCCGGAGAGAACCCACCATGCACAGGCAGAACATGCAAACTCATTACCAATTTCCATCAGAAGCTATTTAATTAATAAGCACAGACACCTATTTGGTAATTAAATGAATGTTAATGCAGCTTTTCTTTGAAGGACTCAAAGGTTTGCTGAAGAACACTGGCCAGTTCCTCCAGGATTTCTCAATTGTTTTTGTGACTTTTTTTTTGGCAATCATAGACATCAATTTCTGCTTTAGAAACATTTGCAAGGAATTTTGTAATATTTCTAACTCATTAAACCCATTCCAAAATCTGCCATGTTAGACAAAAACATTTTTATTATATAAAAACATTTTTCTCTTTAACAATAGCTCAATTTTTGTTACTTGCCTCATATGTCATTGACATAATGTAAAGTTGATGCAATAGAGTAGTACAACTCATCACGTAAGCCCAATATTTTTGACTAAATTATCATTCTCCTACTTCTTCTTGCCATCTTCTTGGTTGTTTCCATTTCAGTTTTATGAAATAGATCTGTTTTGATGCAGCTGAAAAACCACCTTATCTTAGAGGAAAAATATTTGATCAAAAAATGTGAGTTGTTTTTGGATTGGTCAGATTCCATCAAGTGGATTTATTTTCATACTCTCAATTTGCGCAATTTTATGGTTCATGGAAGCACAGTCATGTTCATCAAATATCCAACACAAACTTACTGTAACTTCACCACGGTACTAAAACATTTAGGGAATGAGAAGGACTCTTCAACTAAATGTGATTTTAGTGTAGAGTGGGTGGGGTCATTGCCAATCCCTCTCCAATCTGCAGTCAGGGGTTTGTGCAAAACACTTAACATCCATCCATTCATTCAACCTCTAATTAATCTGGTAAGCTATTCTGGACATGTTCCTATTTACAATAACAACCTGGCAGGGAAGAAAAGGAAGTATTGAGAACAAACAACATTATACAGTTTTTAGTTATAAATCCACCAAGACACATGGGGCTGAATGCAAAGACTCAGATGATTGAAATAATCAGATGATTATTTGTGAAACATGTTCAAGACAATTATTCATTATGAAATCTTAAAAACTAGGAGTTTAAATACTTTTGCAATTGAATGTAACTTTTAGTAATATCTAACATTATCTGGATGGTTAATGTTACCAGGTATTATTATCCAGATAATGGTTAACATTGTCCATTAATGGGTAATGTTAGGGGTGGGTGGGTATCCAGATAACGTGACATATTGACTCTCTGCTTGTACTAACTGTGACCTCTTCTCCTTCCTGTCATCCTTATTTTGTTGCTGTTTTTCTTTTTTTCCATTCCTTTTCTTCACCTTGTTTGTTTGCTTTCCTTGTCTAACTCAAGGAACTTGAGTTGCAGTGCTCCACTCCCACCACACGGGGGGGGAGGCAGACGAAAGAGGAAGTGCAACAGAAGAGTAGAAATCTGTATGAAAATATGCCATCACCTCAACTTGTGATGCGCTATTCCTCCAAAGCTTCCTCTCCCACTTCCTCCTCCTCTTCTGCTGCTCACTACAAATTTCCTGTTTCTAAAATATCCTCTCGATTCCTCACTGATGACCATAAACCTTTGGACTCCACTCAGGTGACTAATTCATAAACTTGTCATACAAACTCTTCTGCATTTATTTCTTTTTTAATCGTCACTAACTTACTCCTTACCGATGACTTAGCTCTTGCATCCCTTCCATTATATTTTCTGTTTCCCTCAGATCAACTCCTAGATAATTTGCTTCTTACATTGTTTGCTCATTTAAACTACGTTTTAATATTTCTACATTGCCAGACTCCTTTTGCAACCAGATGAGGCACCACACAGGCTATTATAGAGGTCTACCTCTTACCCTTTGATGTATGCACTGTGTAATGTCGCCAGCAATTGTAACTTTGACCATAGACCACAAAGTGTTGCTCCTTTGAATAATGAAGGCTGTCGATGTGGACAAAGGTTTTTATCTCAGAAGGATTCACCTACTTTACTGCATTTCTAATATACTGTCATTCAAATGTTAATTTCAATCATAACTATAGTCATGGAAATCATGATTCATACAATAATTAAGGATCCTAAATATTTGGATAATATGGGTTACATGAAAGATCTCAGTCAGCCAGTCAGCTGACAGACCAGTATGGCGTTCCAGTTCCCTCGGCTGTGAGACGCTGTTGGTCTGGTTTTATTGTCCACTTACGTACATTTCTGGTTAATGTTAACTCCAATTAGTTGCAATTCACAGCAACAATGTTCTTAATAAAATGTTGCGATCATTTCATTTTTACAACACTGCACACATTGCATTGAGGTGGCGGATGCTGTGAAGCCCAGCATAAATGGGGAGAATCTACTTTGTGTTGTGAGTTTATGGAAGATGAAGCCTTGAAAAAAATTTGTATTACATTTTTTTTCTCAGTATTAAACACATGTATATCAAGATATATAATTAATTTTAGAAATGTTTTTAATGAACATTTAAAGGTTTTATGAACATTTTCATAGGTGTAAAGTATCAACTGTTGGACCTTTTAAATTATTGAACGGTGGCACTTGTGGCTTTCTCTACAACCTGTGGTCCAAAATTTGAAGTTACTGAGTTATAATTGCACTTTTAAATTCATAGTATTCACAAGTCAGGCAAGCAGTGTGGCTTTTGATAAGTCTGTTGGTGAAGTATTCTCCAAAATGAGCTCTCCATATAGAGTTTATAAATGCTGGTACAGGCAAACCTGACCTATAAAAAGGATCTGCAGTCTGGAAGTCACTTCCTGTTGATTTAAAGTCCGTAACCAGTTTTAGTACGTTAAAAAAAAAAAAAAAAAACTCTGGTTATGTCAAAAACAGAACTGTATCCATTTTTAATGATTTATGACACACTGTTTGTTTGTAGATGTTGTCATCATTATTGTTATGGCAACAGATCCAATATCTATGTCATTCCTTAGACACTGAGTAAAGGACGCATAAAAAGCATGAATTTAACAAAAATTCTTTAACTATAAAAATTATGCAAATATAAAAATGACAGCTACAGTTTACAATTCCTTTTTTCCTTCTTTCTAACTATACACAGTTTACACGGTCAAAAACTGTATTGCGCTGTGTCTGAATAATGTGAACAATCTGTCAATAAAATTTTTCTTTTACAACATATGCCCAACAGGAAATAAGCCTTTCAAAATGAAACTAAACTTCACAATAAAAATTTTCTGAACAAATAGTCTTCTTATCTAAGTGTGATAAAATAAAAAATTTCAAAGTGCTAGAAACAGCCAATCAGAAGCAGGAGGCGGGTCTTAGTGCTGTTAATCACAATCTCATTTAGCTTTACCTTCCTCCCGCTCGCTCTGTGCTAGCCTGCTGTAAATGCTCAGTCTAGCTAGCATAGCTACCAATGATGGAAGATAAACAGTTTTACTGTAATGATAAGTTGTTTCTCCGCCATTAGCACATTTAGCAGTGAGTGAATGAAGTTGATTGACAGCCATATTTAATAAATATGAAGAAACATATTTGTTATTAATGTTATACACTGCAGCCTGAGTAGAATGCAACTGCATAGTATTTTTTGATCTTGCCTATGACTGCTGCTCATGGGGAGAAATATTTCAACAATCTAAAACTAAAAGAAGAAATTTAAGCAGCCTACTTGCATACTGTTTGTGAACTGTTGCATGTAAAATTCATGAGCAGTAAATATTGTGCTAGTTATTAGTATTGGACCAAAGAAAACAAAGCAGTTGCAAGCCTTCAAAATTGTGACGCTTTTGATGGGTCAGATAGATTCAAAAAATTGTAACAGCAGCTGCTGCTTGGGGTGGGGGGCCCAATTTAATTTTTCTTTAGGGGCCCAAGATTCCAGTGTGTGTGGCCCTCTTTGGTACATACACCCTCGCACCTAGTTTAAGGTTTTCTCAACACAGATCGCACCCACCAGAAAAATAAATGACAAATAAGTCGTAGTTACTGCACTGTTCATACTTGATGCCTGACAAAAATCCCAAAGAAGGTTTTGTGTTTTAATATTAGAATTGCCATTTAAAAACCTTCCCTGGTCCTTTTTCTGTTTGCTCCAGTTCAAAGGAAAGAAGGGAGCCAGTATCAATGGAATGGCTTCCAAACAGAAGGCTGAGCCAAAGAGTCAGCCCAAGAAGAATGGAGTCAGTGGGACGGCATCTGTGAAACGCAACAACTCCAGTAAGTGTTGGGAGGACAGCAGCATCTCTGAATTCTCCTGTGGAGCATAAGGAACTCATGTTTTTGTGTGTCTGGCTCCATTGATCAATCAGTCCCTCCAGTTTTTGTGGAAATGTATACGAAATCAAAAGTATCCCTATTTTGCTCTAATGTACAGCAGAGGATTAGGAACAATAAAAACAGAAGAAAAAAAGAATTCTGACATTAATCTCAGAATTGTTATCCTTTCTCCATCTATGACAAAATCCAAATAAATATGAAGTATTTTGCTAACCTATAAAAATGGTGATATTACTGTTTCTTCCTTTGTAAAGCACTTGTAAACCTGAACTTTATCTAAACTGAAAGTATGTCCTAAATTTTGGAATTGAATCGAATTTTAGGACTAGATTTTGCCTGATGGTGTTTTCACAATTCAAAGAATTCTATTTCTGAGAAAAAAGTCAAATTCCTTTTTTCCCAGTGGCTCTAATCCTCTTCCATACTGATGCATAATTGTGAGTTTATAGCAAATTTTTCACAAAAATTGACTTTAAATGACTAACTCCTTCATCAAGGTAGCTGTATTTATTACTTTTACTATTCTGATGCTTCAGCCTTACTTTATGTCAAGTTATCAATAAAGCCAATAAGAAAAATCTAGATATTTAAGTTCTTTAAAAATACAAATGTTGTGTGTGTCCAATCTACCTGCTCGTTATGTTTTAATCATCTTTTTTGAATATGTTTAAGGACAAAAAATGTTGCAAAGTTCTTTGCAAATATTTCTAATGTAGCAAGACAAAATCAATCTGTTGTGTTTTCTTGTTCGGCACTCATCTTCACAATGAACCACACTTATTTTCGTTAGATAGCTGTGTTCTTTATTGTGGAACGGTCAGGCATAGAGAAAACTTCTTCGTCTGGTTCTTTCTAGAACAGTGCTGCCTATATATAATAACTCGCTCTCACTGCCCCCAGTGGCTAACAACAGTACAACATGCACATAAACGGAGAGTGACAGGATATAGAACATAAAGCTGTACCTTACAAAGTAAATAAGTAAACATGAACACATAACACAAGATAACTTAAAGACAGGTTAAGATGAGAACATATTCCAACACAATCATATCGATCACAAAAATAAAATAAAATAAAATAAACATCTTGAAATCCTGGATGTACTAACTGATGATTCTAGGAGAATATATTTGTAAAACTCACAAAACGTTATCCCAACATGTATGATGGACTCCAGGAAGATTTGAGTCTAGGATAGAAACTGAAAGATGGGAAGGTGGGTTCCCAGTTTTTTTTGTTCGATGTGATTGAGAGCGTTTGTAACCTTCATGTAACTCTGCAGAATGTACTTAAAGTAACACTTCAATTTCCCCTCCAAACAATTTGAGGAATGGGGAGTTTAGCTTTACGAATTCAGTAAGACTGATTTCTGCGGCTCCGTTGCCGTTTGGCTGACATCATGCAGCCTTCTCACTGTCTCCTTTATTAGATGCTTTAACAGCCAGTCTTTGTTTTGCAGATGCAGAGCAGTGCAAGTACGGCAAGAACCGTGTCGAGGCAGATGCCAAGCGGCTGCAGGCCAAAGAGGAGGAGCTGATGAAAAAGAAACAGGAGATTAGAAACCATCTGAACCAGCTGAAGAAGGAGAGGAGAGACCTGCGCTCTGCTGTGGAGAGTGCTGCAGGTAGGAAATCAGCCAAGAAGAAGGCTCATTTTAGCAGGATTTTCCAAAACTAGTAATTGTTTCTTCCGGAAACACCAGGCAAACGTTCACAGGCATCTCTGCTGGAGCGCTTGAAGAAGGTGGAAGATGAGTGCAAGCTGAAGGAGGAAGAGAGAGTGAACCTGGAGCTGGAGGCAATAGAGGTCAAGGAAAGTTTGAAGAAAGCTCTGAGTGGAGGAGTAACACTGGGCCTCACCATTGAACCCAAAGCTGCCTCCTCAGATCTGCAGGTTGGAACTCCACCTCTGTTTCCTCACTGATGGTTGGCCGAGGTGGCAGCCTAATTTTCTGTGTTTTGTCCCGTTAACAGTCTCCAGCCATGCTGCGGAGAACACAGGAGTCTTCTCCCTTCTCCAGCTGCGACACTAGCGACACAGAGTCCTGTACCCTGCCAGTCAACAGCGCATCCCTACTGCGCCGGCAGCAGAGCAGCCAGAAGCCATCAACAGTCAGAGGACATGTGTTGAGGAAGGCCAAGGTCAGAGTTCACTGTGCTGACAGATGTCACTGCTCATCTTACTGATGGTTACCAAATTACCCCTTTAGTGGTAATTTGAGGAAACAGCTTTCCCTCAAGCTATTTAGTTTGAGGAAAAAGAAGAGAATAAGCAACATGAAGTAACCGGAAGTATTTAAAATTATGCACTTTACAGACCTGTCCATGACACCAGAAATATTATTTGTAAGATTGGCCCAAAAGAAATAATTAACCAAGATAATAACATCATGTTATTTATTTCTGTTTTCACTGATATGCAATACACACACATACACACGTACACATGTAGATTCAGACTATATAGATCGCTACTATGTCCACATAGACATAAAATTGAACAGACATGATACACAACACAAAAACCTATAAAAGACTTTCATATCAGTGTTCCCACAAAGACGACTGGTGTTGTAGTCAGTCTTGTATAGTAACAAAGTAAAAATACTTCACTACTTTACTTAAGTATATTTTGGAGTACTTCATACTTTCCTTGAGTAAGAAAATTTTTGATAACTTTCACTTTTACTTCACTACATTTCCAAATTTAATTTCATACTTTTACTCTGATACATTTTCAGTGTGTGCTTTAGTTACTCGTTACAAAAAAGCGAGAGAAACGCAAATGTTTTGATCCCACCTACTGATCGACTGCAACAAAGCCTGCTTGCCTGGGCTTGTTCATCACCACCAATAGGATGCACAGGTTTCGCACCTCCCGACTATGTCAAAAAGTCCAGCAAACAGTCTGATTGGTCAGTGCTCCGTTTGTGTGGGTTTGTGCCGTTAAAATGGTCGATTGAGCAGCTTTGGTTTCCGAGATATTAAAATGATTTTTTAGGTCATCCAGAGTTACCATCTCCGCATTTTGCTCCAAAACAAAATCAAAGTGGGCTGGTTCATTAATGCTCCGTTTGTGCAGGTTTGTGCCGTTAAAACAAACACAGCAAAGTTTTCAATTTGGATTTTGGCTGTTCCAATGTCCGGTGTGAGCGGCGTCTAACTCGAGGTTGATTCGATTCATGAACGCTAATTTTGGCCAGCCGTTCTCTAGGTTTCCCCCTTCCTCAAGGTGTCGGAGTTTCACTCAGGGAGAGTCAACAAATTTTACATCCAAACTCTCCTGAGAAACTAAAGGAAATAGATTTCTTGCCTTGTGACCAACTGACACAAAATTCATGACACATTCCCAGTAATTGTAATCTTAAAAAGTATATATTCTGGATGGCCTAAAAAATCATTTTTAATATCTCGGAAACCAAAGCTGCACAAACGAACATTTAACAGCACAAATGGAGCACAAACGGAGCACTAACCAATCAGAGTATTTGCTGGATTATTTGAGTAGGTGGGGTGTCAGCTTCACTGAGGTCTGTTTCGCTTCTCCCATTAAACACCTAGTTAACAAAAAGCTCTCCCTCTTCAGATGTCAATAAGCTGCATTTCCCTCCCAATTCTTTTTTTCTTTTGCATAATGACCAGTTGTTGCACCTATAGTGTGTGAAGTAAAGTAATTGTAACAGGCTTTTTTCTTGGCTGCATTTTCTGTACTGACTATTTATTTTTCTCATTTTCAGCACTGACCTTACTGAAAGGGAAAACTTGAGGCTTATAGAAACTTTGTATTTTCTGTCCTGGAAGGTTTACTAAGAAGCTATTTCAGTTGTAAAGCCATGTTAAGTTAATCTTGTGGTTTAAGTAAAGTACCTAATTTTCTTAACTAAATGATGCTGCAGGTATATCTATTAGCAGGTTTCATTTTGCCTGCACTTGGTTGTGTACATTATTTTAAGTGTATTTGACAAGTTTACCAAAATATAAAAAATGTCATTCAAACTGCATTTGACTTGTTTTACTTTTTACTTGTACTTTTCATTACATTACTCGAGTACATCCATTTTTACAGTAATTTTCATACTTAAGTACAAGATGTTTCAGGTATTTTAATACTTTAACTCAAGTAACATTTCAATCAATGACTTTTACTTTTACCAAAGTCATATTTTGGAGCGGTATCTATACTTTTACTTGACTCCGAGATTTCAGTACTTTATACAACACTGGTTGTAGTGCACTGACAGGATGTGTCAACATTACAAAAAAACGGTTCTTCGTGCTGCACAAACAACACAAACTTGTATATCAAATTTCTCAAGAGTGTCTGGAAAGTCCTGACATGCGTTACAAAATGTCTCACTTCCACTACTGGACCTGGGTTTCTTAAGCAGAATTCTCATTGTCATAAGCAATTTTATGACAATAAACTTCTGCATGCTATTGCTTTTTTAAAATTTCCACCACAAAGAGGTTGTACAATCAGCTTTGATTAAACTTACCTTTATCTTGTCTGTGCACATATTTTTTTGGTTCTTCACAGATACTAGACTGAAACTCAAACACATACAAAACAATGCTTCCAAGTTGTTACAGATTGTGTTTTTGTTTCACAGGAATGGGAGCAGAAGAGTGGCTCATAAACCTCTGCAGTCTTCACATCGACCCTGCTTCCACTCCTTTCTGCTGCAGAAATTGTGTATATATTTATTTAAGACTGCTCATACAGACAGAGTGTGTGCCCAATAAGACACAGGGATATTATTATCACCATCTAAAACAAGAGACAATGTTTTATATGCCATACGTATCACTACACACAGCTTTTTAGCATAATTAGTGTACCAAGTGATCCTATCAAAAGCAGCCACATTTCTTACTAAAAACTTTTGATGCAGTTTTAAAGAAACAAAACTAAGTATTTATTTGTATATTTTAAAGGAAATACTGACTTTCCCATTTTTTATTTATGCTGAATATTTTAAGGGCTTTTTGTTGGGGTTTTTTGTGATTTAAAAAAAAAAAATTTTTGTGACGAGCAATTTTTTTGCATTGGTGGAGCTGTGTCAATCAGGGTCACAACAGAAGAACACATGAGATTATGAAACTTCCTTAAGAAGAATAATAAAAGAAGCTGTTGCTGTCACAACACTAAAGATTGGAAGACCTTTGACTGGGGTGCATTACTGTTAGTTTTACAACACAGAAGGGGCAGAAAATTTGATAAAAAGCATAATAGAATTTTGGGTTCACTTACTTCAACAGTTTCAAAACAAATCTGCCTCAATTGTGAGTAAACTTGAAAAAGCTAGCATGTCTAGAAAAGGCTGAGGTGGTGCACAATGCCTGAAGAGAGAGTTTTAGAAGCACTTATCACAGCATCAAACAACTAGCTGCTTTTCCAATATTCAGGAAATTGTGTAAACTGAAATTATGAAAATAAATATGCTTTATGGAAGCGCGCCAATTTTGAAAAAGCTCAGGTTTTCAATAGATTTTGCTTTACGGTAAGATGTTTTTTTAGCCGTATTGAAATAGTTGTGTCTTGCAGAACTGCAATGGAAAACTTGTTGCATCATATGAGTCAATTTATCAACAGCCTTATGTTGGCAAGTAATGACAAAAGTAGTAAGAGGATCTATTTGGCTTCTTCAGAGCTCTCACAACATCACACAGTCCATAAATACTTGTGTGTCATTCAAATGTGTTGAATCCATAACTCTTCTGGATTCACAGGAATGAAATTGCCAATGTCTGAAATATGAATATATTTTATGTTGTTGTATACATCTGTCACTGCTGTGATTTTTTTAATGATTTATCGTGTGAACAAGCTTATTCACTTGTGATTTTAATTTCATTTCTTGTTTAAAGGGAACATTGCAATCGAGACATTATTAACAGAATATGGACTAAGATTTGGTACATTTGTAATGGAAACGTAACTAGTCAATGAATGCATGCTTCAAAAAATATAAAAATTTAGGCTACCCTAACTATCACTGATCAGCTGTACTGATTGTACAGCTTATCTAGAACTATTGTTGTAAATGTAATATTAGCAGCATGCAATATACAGTTAGGGCCAGAAATATTTGGACAGTAACACAATATTTGTGAGTTGGGCTCTGCATGCCACCGCATTGGATTTGAAATGAAACCTCTACAACAGAATTCAAGTGCAGATTGTAACGTTTAATTTAAAGGGTTGAACAAAAATATCTGATAGAAAATGTAGGAATTGTACACATTTGTTTACAAACACTCCACATTTTAGGAGCTCAAAAGTAATTGGACATATAAACATAACCCAAACAAAAAAGTTTTTTCTCAATATTTTGTTGCGAATCCTTTGGAGGCAATCACTGCCTTAAGTCTGGAACCCATGGACATCACCAAACGCTGGGTTTCCTCCTTCTTAATGCTTTGCCAGGCCTTTACAGCCGCAGCCTTCAGGTCTTGCTTGTTAGTGGGTATTTCCGTCTGAAGTCTGGATTTGAGCGAGTGAAATGCATGCTCAATTGGGTTAAGATCTGGTGATTGACTTGGCCATTGCAGAATATTCCACCTTTTTGCTCTCATGAATTCCTGGGTAGCTTTGGCTGTATGCTTGGGGTCATTATCCATCTGTACTGTGAAGCGCCGTCTGATCAACTTTGCAGCATTGGCTGAATCTGGGCTGACAGTATATCCCGGTACACTTCAGAATTCATCCGGCTACTCTTGTCTGCTGTTATGTCATCAATAAACACAAGTGACCCAGTGCCATTGAAAGCCATGCATGCCCATGCCATTACGTTGCCTCCACCATGTTTTACAGAGGATGTGGTGTGCCTTGGATCATGTGCCGTTCCCTTTCTTCTCCAAACTTTTTTCTTCCCATCATTCTGGTACAGGTTGATCTTTGTCTCATCTGTCCATAGAATACTTTTCCAGAACTGGGCTGGCTTCTTGAGGTGTTTTTGGGCAAATTTAACTCTGGCCTGTCTATTTTGGAATTGATGAATGGTTTGCATCTACATGTGAACCCTTTGTATTTGCTTTCATGGAGTCTTCTCTTTACTGTTGACTTAGAGACAGATACACCTACTTCTCTGAGAGTGTTCTGGACCTCAGTTGATGTTGTGAACGGGTTCTTCTTCACCAAAGAAAGTATGCGTCGATCATCCACCACTGTTGTCTTCCGTGGACGCCCAGGCCTTTTTGAGTTCCCAAGCTCACCAGTCAATTCCTTTTCCTCAGAATGTACCAGACTGTTGATTTTGCTACTCCAAGCATGTCTGCTATCTCTCTGATGGATTTTTTCCTTTTTTTCAGCCTCAGGATGTTCTGCTTCACCTCAATTGAGAGCTCCTTTGACCGCATGTTGTCTGGTCACAGCAACAGCTTCCAAATGCAAAACCACACACCTGGAAACAACCCCAGACCTTTTAACTACTTACTTGATTACAGGTTAACGAGGGAAAGGCCTTTTGAGTTACTTGCAGCCTTTAGAGTCCATTGTCCAATTACTTTTGGTCCCTTGAAAAAGAGGAGGCTCTGCATTACAGAGCTATGATTCCTAAACCCTTTCTCCGATTTGGATGTGGAAACTCTCATATTGCAGCTGGGAGTGTGCACTTTCAGCCCATATTATATATAAATTGTATTTCTGAACATATTTTTGTCAACAGCTAAAATAACAAAACCTGTGTCACTGTCCAAATATTTCTGGCCCTAACTGTAATTCCGGGCTCACAACCATGTGGTCAGATGTTAAAATGATATGGACTCTCCAGTAACTGCCTGTATTGCCACCACTAATGCTCTTTGGTAGCTTTTCTTCATGGACTAATATATGTTTAATGGGAAAGATTCAATCTCAGTTTTTTACTATTTGCTTTGACCAAACTTGTCTTTTTGGTGAAATTGTATTCTAGAGAGGCTGGACTACATGGAGTGGTCAAATGTTTCATTCATTGTGTTATTATCAAAAACTTTGAAAATAACTTCTTTACCTGAAATACCCCAAAGATGTGGTAAAACCACAATGATCAGGTGGATCCAGGTGGAAAAGCAGTCGGTAAATCCATGTTTAATGCTGAGTAGAACAGAGTCTGAAGTGAAACCAGACCAAAACAGATTCTTAGTTATCTGCTTCAGGAGAAACCTTCACATGATTCATTTTTATCAGCTTGTATTCACGTAGATACTAAGCCTTCTAAAACAGGAACTCTGTTTCCTTGATGTTACATTATGTATTGATGGATGGCAGCCATGTTGCATGTGTCGGAGCTGGAAGAATCAAGCAGAGCTGCTTTTAGATCTGAAAACTGGTCAGATTTCTCCCTGTTCATTGTTTGCCCAGATTTCTATGAGCCACATCCCAAAGCATCAGCACACAGAGTCAAACACAGACTGACTTCCATCCTCACTCCCTTGCATTCATAATGACCTATCTCAGACTGAAATGGTGAATTTACTGATACTGACTTTACTGCTTCTAATGTACAAGGTGATGTAGTGAAACTTCAGTTGGTGCATCCACAGAGTTCAGCTCTTCAAAAATACACAAGAAAATTGTTTGGGGTTTTTTCAAGTACCTGGTTGCTTCAAAATGTGTGTTTTGCATAACAAATGGTTTTTAATAAAGATATTAATAAGTAAGTTATCAAAGGTCTGGCAGGCACCCTAAAATATTCAAATAGAAATGGTCTCAGCGGTTTCCAAATCCAACCATAGAAAAGGAGGCAGTTAATCTTTTGTTTGGTTTCTTTTTGGGGGGGAGGAGGTTATTTTGCACTTTAATGTATTTATTAAAATATGACAGCAACACAAAATATTTTTGCAGCACAAAGAGTGCACAAACCACACCTTTTGTGTGAGAATTGGACAACATGGAGAGACCTGGTTTGACCTTTGACACTGATCCATAAAAGTTTTTTGATGTCACTAACATTATAGCAGTATAAGTAATGTCTAACATAAAGACAGCAGCATATAGGGACTTTAATCTTCAACTAGTAGGTTGGGTTCTCCAGTGAGACCCAGTGCCAATCTGTGGGGGAGGGTTGATGTAGGAGGTAGATTGGAAGTGTGGGGGGTAAGTTGATGGAGACTAGATTTATTCATCTGTGTTTTTCTAGCACCTTATGCATTTTCTTTTTTGTTGTATATCTCAGACAGTCTCCAACTCGGTGACGCATGCTTGTACATAAGAGTAAACACCTCCTTACCATCACATGTGACTTTGTGTTTTTATTCTTTATAAACCCATACATCATCCACAGCATGACACTACATGACAAACACTGGTAGTAAAGTAATCATACTGCCCTAAATACATGTATTTAGAGTAGAGATCGAGAGACTGATGTCACTGGGAGTATTAATACCCTCTGAACTTTTCAATCATAAACTTAATTTTGAAGGGATCAGGAAGAGGACTGAAGTTAGTACGACAGAGTCCTGCTATGAAAGCTAAAGTCAGATCACCACCTATGCAATAGAACCATCTGCCTTCTGCCACAAGAATCCATCTCCTATTTAAAGGGACCTCCTGATTCCCATTGGTAGGTGGACTAATGCAAGTTGACTTGACCTGCCTGACCTCCAGGAGAAAAGCACTTAGATCAGCAGAAATGACACCAAAGCATTTTAAGATTAAATGAAGTTGGATGTTTTTGCGTTACTTCATAATTCAAGAGGTTTCTGATCAAGTCAAAAATTCTGAATGTGATGAACACAATTGATGTATTTTTATGCACTTAAAAACTCAACGGGTAAGTGGCAACCCCAACACCATAGGAAGGTCAATTATTTCTTTGTCTGAAATATAATGAGACAGGACACCATGTGTATTCAGAACAAACATTTCATTTTTATTCGTCTCTCTCTGGTCATAATAATATAACGTCACCGTCACAGTGCCACCTGCGACACCAAGTTATTAGATTATTTCTCAATATGTATACACTATTTTGGTTCATTTTCTTTTAGTGGTCTGCTGGAGGGCCAGATACATCCGGAGTAAGGCTGGTGCAAAGCTACTGGATAGATAGTTTTAACATTCCTCCAGGAAGTTTGTTTTCCTCCTGACTTGCACAGTTCACATTTCTGTTATTGAACCTGGTTACTATCAGCTGTAGTTCTGATAGTAATTAGAATTCAGACAAAAATATCAATCAGATTCTTCATATAGTTTTATTCGGCAGCCCCTCCATAGTAAGAGATATGCTGCAACAATGTTTCTTCTTTTTCTTGAAATTTATTGGCGGTTGGCAAAAAAAACTAGGTGAAAATTACTGCCAACTGATAAGAAGTGTGAACAACATGACCCAAAACAAAACTATATTCTATTATACAACATAAATTGTTTCAAAAGATCAAATATAGCTTGATATCCTCAACATTTTTTTATTCCACTGTTTTCTTACATTGTTAAAAAAAAAACATTACTTTCAAAACTGCGTCTTGAAAATGCTTTGATTGTGAAAAAGTCTAACCTGGGGTGGCTTCGGCAGGAAAAGACAAAACACATATAAACACAAGAAATAAAAAAGAAAATTGGAGACGTTGAAATGATTAAGATTTTGAGAGATGGAAACCTATTGATAGTTTTAAAAATGAAGAACAAAAGAATAAGTCTTTAAATGTGGATAATATATGTAAAAAAAATGTGTTGGAGAAAAACATCATGGGAGAAAATAAAAAAATTAGAGGAGTGATTTATGGGATTCCTCTATATGAAGATCTTTATAAAACTAAGAAGTATTGGAGGTGCAAAAGTGAATAACGAAGAGATTGTGAAAAACTATAAATGGAGAAAAAGTAGAAAGCTTGTCAATTCTCACTGAATTTGAAGAAAAGGAGTTGCCACAAAAACATCAAAATAGGTTATCTCAGTTTTCAGACTAGACCTTATATTCCACTTTGTAGTTTTGAAATGTCAAAGGTCACAAAGGAGACATGGCAGCAGTTTGTAAATGTCCAAAATGTGGTGAAGATCACAAGTTAGAAGAATGTAAAGAAGTACAAGACAAATGTAACTGTGGAGGGAAACATGTAGTTCCTCCAAAAAATTGTTCCTCCAATTTAGATACTTGAGTCAAATAAACTTAGAAAAAGCACATATGAGAATGGATATAAATGATATAAATTTAAAAATTTGTAAGATAATTATGGAAGCAGCAGATAATTCTATAAAGAAAGCAGGGTGTAGAAATGATAAGAAAATGGTACCACAGTGGACAAATTAATGTAAAGAATTTAATTGATTATCAAAGAAAGCAAGAAGCGGTAGGGAGAACAATTAAGAATGCAAAAAGAGAATGTTGGAGAAATTTTTTAACCACAATAGGGAAAGAAAATAAAATAGAAAAAAAAGGAAAATAGTTAAAAGAATGTTGGGATTCTCTGTCCCCTCAGTGCCTAACTAGATGTCCTCAGGGAGCTGAGCCTCTCTGAGGCTCTCCCACACACCTGTAAGTAATCCCCTTTCATTCAGCGATGCTTAAGAAGAACCGACGGCTAAACCAGAAAAAGATCATTCAAATCCAGAAAATCACAGACCAAAAGCTTTAACATCAAATCTATGTAAAATAATGGAAACAAATGATTAATAAGAGACAAGCATATTATTTAAATAATAAAGGATATATGTCAAAATATCAAAGTGGTTTTTGAAAAGAGAGGAGTACTAATGATCCAACGCTGTCCAGAGCATGAAATTAGAAGAGCACAAGTAAATAGAGAAAGTGTAGTGGCAGATTTTTTTGATACAGAAAAAGCATATGATGTGATGTGGGTTGAGGGATTATTAATTAAATTATACACATTGGGCATTAAAGGGAAAATATTTAAATGGATTGAAGACTTTTTAACAAATAGGAAAACACAAGTTAGAATTGGTAAAGTAATATCAGGAGTATATTGAGTAGAAAATGGGACTCCACAGGGAAGTGTTATAAGTCTGTTAGTGTTCTCCATTATGATAAATGATATTTATCATAATACGACATCATATTAGAAAAGAAATGGGATGTTCACTTTTTGCAGATGATGGAGCTGTTTGAAAGAGAGGGAAAAATGTAGATTTCATTGTACAGAAATTACAAGACGTTATTGTTGAAATAGAGAAATGGGTGTTGCAATGGGGATTGAAATTTTCAGTTGAAAAAACAAAAGTAATGATATTTACTCAGAAAAAAAATTATTATATAACTAAGAATTAGAGCAAGTAAAGTGAATAAAATTTTTAGGACTATGGTTTGATGAAAAATTAAAATTGAATATAGATATTCAAAAAGTTGTAGATAAATGTAAGAAAATCTTAAATATTTTAAGATGCTTGACTAGCAGTGACTGGGGAGCAGATTGGCAATCACTAAAAGGGATTTATTTATAAGATCTATTATTGACTTTGGTTGTAGAGTTTATGCTTCAGCAGCTAAAACTCAACTGGTTAAATTAGACATTATCCAACATCAACCACACCAAGAGCAGCAGTAGAAATAGAAATGGGAGAAATGCTGTTAGATTTAAGAAGAACAAAAGTAGAAATATATTATTGGTTAAATTTGCAAAACAATAACTTTGATCATCCAACGTGAGAAATTTAAAATCTCCCACGTTGAAAAGAAAGAAATGAGGAATTTTGCATGGAAAACTAAAAAGAAAATTAAAATGAGTGATTTAGAAATGTATTTTATTTTTTTATTTTATTTCCTTTATTTAACCAGGAAAACCTCATTGAGATCTGAACCTCATTTTCAAGAGGGACCTGGGCAGAAGTCTGCAATACACAGCAATCTGGTTACAAAATAAAACCAGCATTTTGTAATCAATTTTACTCAAACAACACCAATATCAATTATACCACCATGGATTCTACCAAAAGCAACAGTAGATATGTCAATAATGGAAAAGAAGCAAGATAAATCTTACATCATAGAGTTATTTAGTAGAGGTACATTTAAACAATTATTAGCAATATATTCAAATGTATAGAGATGCATCAAAATAACTGCAAAAGTAGGAATAGCTTTTGTAGTACCAGAATTCAATATGAAAGTAGGAAAAATTACAGATGGATTATCAGTTTACACAGGAGAAATGTTGGCAACATTATTAGCTTTACAATGTGAAGAAGATATAAAATCATTAAAAACAGGAATATGTTCAGATTCAAACTCTGCATTATTAAATGTAAAATGTAATCAATCAGATACTAGGATGGAGATTTTATTACAAATATCTCATACATTTTTCAGAATACAAAATGTGGGTTTGATAGTTACATTTGTGTTTCAGCACATATTGGAGTAGAAGAGGGCAGATAAAAGGGCAAAGAGGGCAATTCAGAATAATATTAGTTTCACAGTTAAGACAAGAAAATCTGAGGGAAAGAGAAAAACTGATGGAAAAATTACAAAAAAGGTGGGATGACGAAAAAACAGGAAGATGGTTTTATAAAATTCAGAAGATGGTAGGAGAAAGAAGAAATGGAAAACGAAATAGAAAGGAGAAAAGCAAGGTTAAGATTTGGGCATACAGGACTTAATTTTACACTTTTCAACATTCAAAAGCATTCTACTGGCAAATCTGATTACTGTAGAAAATATGAAACAATAGAACATGTTATTTTAGAATATCATTAATATGAAAAAGAGATAAGAAATATGAGGAGAGAGTTTGAATGTATTACGGAAAAGATTAAGTCATGAGATATATTAGGGAATAAACATACAAATAGTTATTTGATTTTTAAAGAAAACTAAATTCTTTCATATAATTTGATTTTAGTAGGTGAATGGAGGATAATATAGATGGTGTTAAGAATTAAAAAGAGGAATAACTTGATTTAGCTCGTTAATTTATTCCTCTGTCCTAGATTCTTTCTAGATTCTTGTGTCTGTATACGTGTGCAGGGAGAAAGAGCAATCATACGACATCAGACTTCAGATATCCAGAGTTTTATCCAGAGAAAATCAATGCAAGAAGAATGTTACAATAAGCATCTCACCTAGATCATCAAAAGTCCAAGACATGAAAAAACAGAAACAATTAACTGAGTAAAAAGGGAAATAAAAACACAAACAAAAGATGCATCTTCTGGGAAACTCTCACTCAGCACAAAGAGATTCAGACTTCTGCTGCAAAACAAACCATTTTATACGAATGTGTATTCTCCTCATTTAAATATATGCATTAGGAGGTGTTTTTTCCTTTGTGTGGGCTGTC